CAAAAATGCAGTAAAATTGTGAAATATTATTACCATTTAAAATAGCTGTTTTCTATGTGAATATATGTTCAAATGTTATTTATTCCTGTGATGCGCAGCTGTATTTTCGGCATCATTACTCCAGTCTTCAGTGTCACATGATCTTCAGAAATCATTCTAATATGCTGATTTGCTGCTCAAGACACATTTCTGATTATTAGCAATGTTGAAAACAGTTGTGCTGCCAAATATGTTTGCGAAAACAGTGATACATTTTATTTTTCAGGATTCTTTGGTGAATAGAAAGTTCATAAGAACAGCATTTATTTGAAATAGAAATCTTTTGTCATATTATAAATGTCTTTACTGTCACTTTTGATCAGTTTAAAGCATCCTTAGTGAATAAAAGTATGAATGCAGTATTGCTTTGGATAAAATTGTCTGTATGCATAAAATGTTATTAAATTATATACTTAGTTGCTTTTTATTATCTGTAATAACTTTGCTGTTGAGAACTACTGATGTAAGATTACTGGTAGTGTATAAGGAAATGTCACATGACCTATGTTGTTTCTTGGCACATTCTAAAGATTGTGATTGAATGGTCCAGCTCAAGCGGTTTGTGTTCACAGGCGTTGGAGAAGCACTGTCGTGTAGACGCGGGTTTCTCAGGAATCAGAGACGTGTACGCCTCCACAGTCAGTCACGACAACATGCAGCAGAGCTTCTTCTTGTCCGAGACACTCAAGTAAGTTCAGTATCAGTGTTAATTTCGTTGACGAATAATTTTCGTCATAATGTTCGTTAACGAAATTGTTTTCTCTGACGACAATGAGGCGATAACGAACTAAAACTCTTTTTGAATGACAAAAACTATGACGAAAATATATTGACATTTTCGTCAACGAATAAAAACAAGACGAAAATGTTAGGGAGGGACGATTTGGGAAGAGATTCATTCAATTTCAGAACGAATTTGCTGCATGGTTAGGAGGTTAGATGCGTACATATGAACCGGTGGGACATAAGCTAATATACACTTGCTGCACGTCACATAAGACATTCAAAAATGTCAATATGTGGGAGTAAGAGAAGAGCAGACATATGGATAAATCAGACGACGCAAGAGAGAACTAAATTTTGTCCGGTTTTCTGAGCGCAGAAAGCACTGAAGCACACACACACACAGAAAGCGCCTCTCACATCGCGTGAGTACTCTTTCGCTTCGCATGAACGGAGAATTACACACTAAATGATGTCGAATTGTCCGTTTTGACGAGTATTCACGTAAACACAGTGGATTACGTCTTAAGTGAACGTAAACAGCAGGGAGAATGTGTATCAGTACATTGCATCCATTGCAGCTGTGCATTTGGTTTTAAAGGGACAGTAGCCTAATTTAGTTGCTATTGTCCGAATCATTGATGTTAATCAAGCAACAAAAGAAAGACAGAAAATCACGCACTGCTCTTGACTGAAAAACTTTAGTAGACTTAAAGATGAATCTAAATTTATTTATAGAAATAAATATGTCTGCTTGAAAGAATGAAGAATACGGTAAACAAGTTGCTATAAAGAATGCATAATTAGCCTATA